GGAGAGTCGACTATATATATATATATATATATATATATATATATATATATATATATATATATATATATATGTTTGTCATTCGTTTTACTTTCAGTCTTTCTGTGTGTGAATTACGGTGTTATTATATCATGAATATAATAACTTCCATAACGGGACAAACGCAAACGTGAGAATAAATCTTTCTTCTAAGCGCTTCCGCTACAATGACATTGCAATTCTCTTATTTTTCTCGAATGGTTCCAGAATTAAAAAAAAAAAAAATCACGCGTTGGATTTAGTTTGTCACATCTGAATGTTATAAGATTTCCTTCTGGTTGACTGAAAGACGCCAAAACTGTCTTAATTTCATTTATATGGATTCCACCTTGTTCTGTAGCAAATTCTAATCTCAGAAGTGTCTATTTGTAAACAGACATAATGACATATACGAAATAATTCCATTTAATTCCTGGAATAACTGCTCAATGTCCTGGGGCAATGTGTTAGGTAATTAGATGTACGCGGCCACAGTTGGACATGTTTCAACCACCGTTTCTTGAATCGCAAACCAAATCAGTCATTTTTGGCTAATGAGTAGAAGAATTCATGTTATACTGTTGGCGGAAAATGTCTAAAAAGCAAAATTCTTGTAATTATGGAATCAGATATGGTGTAGAGACAATTGAAATTGAATTGAGGGCACATAAGGAAAAAAGAGGGCTTGGAAAATTTATACACGACTTCCAACAGGATGTTTCCCCGATCTCTATACTCTTAACCCGTTCAAGGCGAGGGTTACCCGTTACCTATCAGTCCTATCCTCACAAATTGTCTCCTAACGTAATCCTCTATCTCGTGTGGACCACGAGCTTTGTAAAGGTGAACCTTACTTTAAAAGAATGTCATGGCTTCATCTTTATCTATCACCTTTATGTGCATAATTAACACTGCCAACTGTCTTTTCTTCCACTCATATACCAGGTCATCCCATAAGTTCTGTCCGAGTTTTGAATAAAGAAAACAAGTGACCAAATGTTACATTTAATTACAGATTCAATCAACAATGTATTTCCCTGATTATCTATGACTTCCTTCCATCTATTAACAAGCTTATTAATTCCATTACTGTAAAATTATTTTAGCTTTGATTCGAAGAACTCACAAATGTCAGTTTTCAGCTCTTCCTCTGTTACAAAAGCTGTTTCTTCCAAATGATTCTGTAAGCTACGAAACAAATGGTAGTCTGAAGAAGCAAGATCGGGAGAATAAGGTGAATGAGGAATTTTCTCCCAACCAAGTTCTTCGATCTTTTGTGACGTGATTCTTGCTGTGTGTGGTCGCGTATTGTTTTGATGAAACATCACCTCTTTTCGATTCACTAGAGCAGGTCTTTTTTTCCTGAAAGCTTGATGCAAACGCTCTTATTGCTGACAGTATATTTGAGCATTAATTGTTGCATTAGGTGGTAAGAATTCAAAATTGATTATTTCTAGGCGATCCCACCAGATTGAAAGAAGAACCTTTTGCCCATGAAGTTCCCTTCTTCGCAGTGGCTGGGGTCCTTCCCCTTTACCAAGCCACTGTCTATGAAGCTTAACATTTCGATAAAAGATCCATTTTTCGTCGCCAGTCAAAAGTCTATCCAGAAAAGGTGAAACAAGTTGGCGAGAATGGAGAGAAGAGCAGATGTCAACTCGGGATTTGAGGTTGTTTTCAGAGGCACCCGTTTTGTTGTTTTTCAATTCATGAGGCACCCATTTTCCAAGTTTAGGAATTTTTCGAAGTTGTTGAAGATGACGATGAACAGTTGTATGGTTTGAACTGAGAACCACTGCCAATTCCTCAACTGATAAAGCAGGATTTTCTTCAAGGGCTGCTTCAAGAAGCTTTTCATCAAATTCAACTGGACGTCCGGTTCGATTTTCATCTTCAATGGTGAAATCTCCAACTCTGAATTTTGCAAACCATCTTCTGCAAGTTCTTTCATTCACACATTCCTCTCCATAAACTGAGTGAATGTTTATAGCCGCTTCGGCTGCTGAGTTTCCTTTCTTGAACTCATAAAGCATTATGTGCCTCAAATGATTCTTGGGTACTTCAATGTTAGCAGGGTTTTAATCAAACAAAATTTAATTTTATTGTTCTCTGAAATAAAATTTAATGAGTTTAAATGTATCTAAACATAAAAGTAATGTTCAGCTCCATTAGACATTATAAAATACTCTTTAAATTTCGTTCATTTTAACAAATATTCAAAATTCGGACAGAACTTATGGGATGACCTGATAAAATATAATCAACGTTTTAACAGTAACACTCTACCTTGAGTGGCTCCCGAATCATGTACTTTCTTTTATTTTTCTTCTATTACTTTGACTAAATAAAAAAAAACGGAGATGCGGTGTAGTAGCAGCTCGGATTGATGAATCGGAGAGCAGAGTACGAATTTTAGTCAAGTTCATTGCATTTATTTATCTGCTGTGAAAGATACGAATCCATCTGTTCCCCAATTCTATCTACTGGTAAATAGCATTAATATTAATAACCTTCAAAATCCTTCTATAGAATCGCATTTGTGTGGCTTCAAGTCATTCCTTCATATTGAGGAGATAGTCCTCCATTCACTGCTATACAGGAGGACAGTTATCATGTAACAGTTTAGCATTTTTTTCCTTGTTTCTACCGAAGATTTTTTTTCTCTATTTCTTAGGACTTTGCTGAGCTTTTGGAATGCATATTTGTTGGAAACAAAAGTCAAAAGGTACTGAAATTATACCCGATATCTGTCTTCCAATATAGCAGTGAATCCCAAAATAAAAAGAAATTCCTGGCTTTAAATAACCGTAAATATCAAATCAATCAGAAACATTGGAAAATACATCAATCTATCGTTTCTCTCCACAGTAGTTTAAATCACTCGTTATACAACGCTTCCTAAATTTGGGTGGCATCGAGTTTAAGAGAATTTATATTCAGAATTCAGAATCAGATGAGAATGAAACTGCAGTTTACACGATTATATTTCCCTGGGATCATGGAATATCTCATCTAAACTGTGGAGAGCCATGATCAATCAATCAAACCTACAACATTTGAGCTTGTGAAGAAGGCCAGAATGTCAAACCATGTCAATCGCCGTCGAGGTATCTAAAGCCATGATATCCTCAGTATCCTTCTGTAGAACCTTCTTTCTGTTGCTTGAAGTCACTTCTTCATCTTTGAGGATACTGCTGTACAGGAGGACAGTTTAGTATCTTTTTTTTGTTTGTTTCTTGCGGAAGTTTTTTTTTCTCTATTTCTTAGTACTCTACTTAGCTTCTTTACAAACAAAATGAAAAGAGTATTGAACTGCTACATAATATCAGTACTCCTATATAGTAGTGAATTCAAATTTTTAAAGAAATATTTTCTGGCATAAATAACAAAAGCTTGATAAACTGAAAAAACTAACCATTCAGAAACATTGGAAACTACGTTAATCTATGTTTTCTCTCCACAGTAAGTTTAAGCAGTTGGTAGACAGACTTCCCTAAATGTGGGTGGCACAGAGTTTAAGAGAATTATCATTCAGAGGAGAATGAAATGGCTATTCACACGATTCTACTTTCCAAGAAGCATGGAATCATGGGAAATCACAAATAAACTGTGCAGAGCCATGATCCGCAAATTTTTGAAGCAACATGGCTCTTTTTAAAAATCGATACGTAATATATAAAAAGATAATTTACAGTTTAATTCGTAAAAATATGTTACAATAATGTTGTTGAAAGGAGAAATAAACGTCAGTTCACACGATTATACTTCCCAGCAATCATGGAAGAAAGGGAAACGATATAAATTATAGAGAGCCATGATGACCAAGGTGTTGAAGTGACATGGCGTAATATATGCAATGGCGTAATATATGCAAAGATCATTCTCAGTTTAATTCCAATCTAAAAATATATTTTCTGGCTTTAAATAACAAAGGATTGATAAACCGTAAATAACGAATCAACCAGAAACATTGGAAAGTACATAATTCTGTCTCTTCTCTCCACAGCAGTTTAAATCACTGGATAGATGGGGCTGCCTACATGCAGGTTTAAGAGAAGGAATATTCTGAATTCACAACAGAGGGAAGATGAAAGGGCAATTCACACGATTATAGTTCCCAGGAATCATTCAAAATCACATTAAATGTGTGGCGAGCTCTGATCAATCAATCAAAGCAACAACCCTTGAGCTTGTGAGTAGGGCCAGAATGCAAAACCATGTCAATCGCCTTCGAGATATTTAAAGCCACATATGTGAGATGCTTAAGCAAATCAGAGTTGATATGTGTGTGAACCTTTTGTTTGTATGGATGTCTATGCGCATGCGTGTGTGAATGTATATATGTACATGTTACTTAGCCATTTGTTCATACATAGAAATCTATAAAGAGGATAAATAAACAGGAATTTATTATATTCTTGGCAATCCAGGTACAAACCGTTTTTCAGAACTCTCCTGGGTAATCATCCTGTTTTTTTGCCTTTGGTTTGTAGCTGTCAACACCGAGTGAATTTGGACATAATGAAAAGGCACAATAAACGAAACAGAAGAAAGAAAATAATTCTGCGTTACAGAATGAAAAGAAGAAAAAATTGAAGAACAGACGGAAAAACCAAAAGGAATCATTTGTTAAGAAATATGGATGAAAACTTACGTAAAAAAGGATCTTAAAAAAACAAAATGAAAGATGAGGACAAATGTAAAACCTGGCAAAGCCTATGTAAATCAAAGTGAGAAACCGTGACTGGTTTTATGAGAATGGAAAGAAAATGAACATTGGTATTGAATGAAAAATGGAAGAAATCAAAAACAGGATAATGTTACGAAATAAGGAAGAATATAAGAGTAAAATGATTTACAAAGAAATCAAAAATGTGGTCGTAAAGTGAGAAAAAAGGAAAAAGCGTGAAGAGAATCAGAAGTCAGGGAAAACAATGAAAGAGCGATTGTTGGAAAGGAATTGAATGAGGAATTGAAAAGAATGATCAAAAGAAAGAAGAAAACGTGAAAGAAAATAAAGCAGAAAAAGCGCAGTGAAAATAATTAAATATTAAGTGAAGCATGAAAGAAAAAAGGGAAAGAAAACTTGAATAGAAGGCAACATATAAAAAAGAAGACAGACACAAAGAAAGAAAGAAAGAAAGAAAGAAAGAAAGAAAGAAAGAAAGAAAGAAAGAAAGAACGGAATAAAGACAGAATGAAAGAAAGAAAGAAAAAAGAAAGAACGAAAGATAGAATAATGAAAGAACACAATAAGGAGGAAAATCACCGTGAAAAAGGATGGAACTTCAAGTGAAGAATAAAAGAATAAAGTGAAAGAAAAGTTGAACGAAACTTAACATATGAAGAGAAGAAAGAATCAAAGAAAGAAGGAAAGAAAGAACAAAAGAAAGAAATAAAGAAAAAAAGAAAAAAAGACAAAAGCACGAAAGAAAGACAGAAAGAAAGAAAGGACGAACGAAAGAAAGAAATAAAGAACGAAAGAAAGAAAAATAGAAAGAAAGAAATATGAATAAATACAATAAAGCAAAAATCACCGTGAAAAATGGAACTTCAAGTGAAAAATGAAAGGTTAAAGGGAAAAAAACTTCAATAGATAGAAACACATAAAAAGGAAGATAGACACAAAGAAAGAAAGAAAGAAAGAAAGAAAGAAAGAAAGAAAGAAAGAACACAATAAATCAGAAAATCACTGTGAAAAATGTTGAAACTTCAAGGGTATAATAAAAGAATAAAGGGAAAGAAAGAATGGAAGAAAGAAAGAACCAAAGAAAGAACAACAGCACGAAGGAAAGAAAGAAAGAAATAAAGAAAGAAAGAAAGAAAGAAAGAAAGAAAGAAAGAAAGAAAGAAAGAAAAATGAAATAACACAATAAAGCGGGGAATTACTGTGAAAAATAACGGAAGTTCAAGTGAAGAATACATGAATAAAGGGAAAGAAAAGTTGAAGGAAAAATAACATATGAAGAGAAGAAAGAATGGAAAAAAAGAATGAAATAAAGGAAGTGTGAAAGGCCGAAAAAGGGAAAATAAAATTATACAAGGGTAAATAATAAAGAAAGAAAATACAAAAGAAAAGTTAGTTTTGCTCCATAAAAGAAAAAAAAATCACTAAGGAAAATGTTCAAAATTCAATTGAAATATAAAAGGAAATAATTAAAATAAACTTGGATCGAGATATGAAATAGGAATAAAATAAGAAAAAGAAGGAAAATGAAAACTAAGAAAAGGAAAACATTGGAAGGAACGAGTAAAATATAAGAAAGAAAGAAAGAAAGAAAGAAAGAAAGAAAGAAAGAAAAGCCATGAAAAATAAAGAGAAAGAACAACTGTGAAATAAAAGGAAATTTCAATAAATATATAAAAGAAGAACAATAAAGAAACGGAAGAAAAAAGAAAAAAAAGAAAAAGAAAGAAAAAAGAAAAAAGGGAGAAAAAAGTAAAAAAGGAAAAGGAAGAAAAAAGAAAAAGGAAAATGAATAAAAAAGAAAAAAGGAAAAGGAAGAAAAAAGAAAAAAGGAAGAAAAAAGAAAAAAGGAAGAAAAAAGAAAAAAGGAAGAAAAAAGAAAAAAGGAAAAGGAAAAAAAGAAAAAAGGAAAAGGAAGAAGAAAGAAAAAAGGAAGAAAAAAGAAAAAAGGAAAAGGAAAAAAAGGAAAAAGGAAAAGGAAGAAAAAAGAAAAAAGGAAGAAAAAAGAAAAAGGAAAAGGAAGAAAAAGAAAAAAGGAAAAGAAAGAAAAAAGAAAAAAGGAAGAAAAAAGAAAAAAAGGAAAAGGAAAAAAAGAAAAAAGGAAAAGGAAGAAAAAAGAAAAAAGGAAGAAAAAGAAAAAGGAAAAGGAAGAAAAAAAGAAAGAAAAAGGAAAAGGAAGAAAAAAAAAGGAAAGAAAAAAAAAAAAAGGAAAAAAAAAGAAAAAAAGGAAAAGGAAGAAAAAAGAAAAAGGAAAAGGAAGAAAAAAGAAAAGGAAAAGGAATAAAAAAGAAAAAAGGAATAAAAAAGAAAAAAGGAAAAGGAAAAAAAGAAAAAAAAGAAAAGGAAGAAAAAAGAAAAAGGAAAAGGAAGAAATAAGAAAAAAAGGAAAAGGAAGAAAAAGAAAAAAGGAAAAGGAAGAAAAAAGAAAAAAGGAAGAAAAAAGAAAAAAGGAAAAGGAAGAAAAAAGAAAAAAGAAAAAAGGAAAAAGGAAGGGATAACCTAAGAAAAAGATAAATAAATAAAGTCGATGATCGAGATGAATTGTTTTGCATTTCTTAATCTAGAAGGAGTCCATTAGAACTCAAAGCAAATGGAATAGTAATAACAATCTTGTGAATATCAGGTGCCACTACCTGGTTTTAAGAATTAAATATTGCAGTTGTTTTTTATGGGGGGCATCAAAATTATAGAAATACCAAAGTGGGGTATGACCCAAAATTGGTTGGAAACCACTGGTTTAGATGAAGACTTTGTAAAAGATAATATTTTCAGCTCTGCACATTTTTTGTGTAGCATTGAGATGCTGATATATCCGGGAATTTTACACACGTCAATTTCAGAAGCCATTTTTATCCTAATCAAAGTCCCTAGGACAGGTGGAATAATTACAGTTTTAAGTTTTCACATTTTTGCTACTTCGATTTGCAAGTCCTCATTCTTATTATGATCGATTCCGTTGATTTCTGCTATATCCACGTTTCTTCGGGGTCCCAACCAGAGACATATGTTTAGAAATGGCTTCATTTTTCACTGACCATTTTTGTAAAAATAAAAAGCCTAAGATCACAGACATAGATTCAGCCCATCTTAGGGTGTGGACTGTACTTATGAGTACAATTTTTTGGCATTTCTTTAAGACATGAGCTACCAGGAATCTCTTCAGTGAGTCTATCGGAACCTTTTCCAATCAATCGGAGGGTTCCAGCTACTACTACTACTACTACTACCACTACTACTACTACTACTTATTATTATTATTATTATTATTACTACTACTACTACTACTACTACTTATTATTATTATTATTATTATTATTATTTCCTTTGATTTCCGGTGTCCCGCCCAGAGACTTAAGCTCAGAAATGTCATCTTACCATTTTCCACTGAGCAATTAAAGAAAACAAAAGCACATATTTTACCTTGGTTAGTTGTGCGCTGTACTTGTGAGAATATTTTTTTGTATTTCTTTAAAACTTCTAGTAATCCCGTTAATGTGTCTATTAAAATCTTTTCCAATCAATCCGATGGCTCTAACTACAACACGTATTGTTGAGATTCCTATTTCAAGGTCCTTGTATTTTGATAGCTTTTTCAAGATCTTCAAAGATACATTACAATCTGCAGGGACTGCCATATCAATATTTTTTTCGGTTTCTAATAACAATGTATGGGCGATTAGCTTTGGTTGTTCTGTTTGTGTGTATTGTGAAGTCCCATAAAATTGTTACAGGTCCTATCTCCGTAATTGGGTCTGGGTAGTGTTCATACTCATTTCCTTCTTTCTTTCTTTATTTATTTATTATTATTTTCTTTAATTCCTGTTGTATAAATATTTCCTTCCGGGTCCCTACCAGAGGAAATGACTTCATAACATTTTCTACTGGTCATTTTTGTAAAAAAAAGAAACATTTAAGATCTCATACATTATGGCATTATAGCGGTTTGAACCGGTTCTCGCAAACCGATTCTTAAAATTATAAATACTTACCTAACCGTTTGTTGGATTATCCGAAAATAATCTTATATATTAATAGCCGATTGTCTAGGTAAAATGTTAGTTACGCTGCGCACGTGCGCGCGTTTTGCGAAAATGTAATAGAGAAAAATCCGGCTCGCGTTTTTTAAGTTAAAAATGTGCCAAATCTTCTTGTCATAAAATTGATAGGTCTTTCAGTGTATCTTGGGACTACAGCTATTATTATTATTATTATTATTATTATTATTATTATTTTATTTCCTTTGATTTCTGATGTGTACTGATTTCTTTTCGGGTCCCACCCAGAGACCTAAGAAATGGAATCATGACATTTTCCACTGAATAAAAAAAATAAAAAAGATACGTAGACAAAGCCCTTCGTAATGTGTGGGCTGTACTCATTAGAACAACTTTTTGTATTTCTTTAAGGCATGGGCTTCCAGGAATTCCTTTCAATTAGTCTACTGGAATCTTTTCCAAACAATTCGAGGGCTCCAACTACAACAGGGATTGTTGATGTTCCCATGTACCACATTTTTGAGATTTCGATTTCAAAGTATTTGTATTTTGATAGCTACTTGGAGATCTTCAAAGATACATTGCAGTCTGCAGGGACTGCCATATCAATAAGGAGGCAATTTTTTGTGTGCGATCTCTAATAAAATGTCTGGGCGGTTAGCTTTGATTGCTCTTCTTCTACTTTGTCGTCCTTCGTAGGAATCAGTTTACAAGGAATTTACACAGAAAACTAAGTCCCGATTTTAAAATTTAGAAGGTTATTTTTGTATTCCTAATCTGCAATGCATAATCCAGAGAAATATGAAAAAGAAAAGTTTTTAAAAAGTGATTAATTCTTGGCGGGATGCGTTTCCGTAGAAACGCTGGAGAAGAAAGCAAAACTTGAAAATAAGAAAAAGATAAAAAGTGAACGGGTTGGAAAACAAAGACGCAAAGAATGAAAAGCATAAAAACAATATAAAGAAAATGTTCGGCATTAAAATGAAGACTGCAATTTGAAACTAATTAAAATAGGGAATGCGTGGAGAAAAAAATACAAACAAAAATGATAATGACTGAAACATATTTTGAAAAAGAACGAATGGTTTAAAGAAAGAAAGAAAGAAAGAAAGAAAGAAAGAAAGAAAGAAATATACAAACAAACAAATAAACGGAAGGAAAGAAAGTAATCGGAAATAAATAAATGGAAAGAACGAAAGAAACGGAAAGAAAGAAAGTAAAGGAAAGAAAAAAGAAAGAAAGAAAGAAATGGAAAGAAGAAAGAAACGGAAAGAAAGAAAGAAAGAAGGAAAGAAAGAAAGAAGGAAAGCAAAAAGAAAGAAACGCAAAGAAAGAAAGAAAGACGGAAAGAAAAAAAAAGAAAGAATCGCAAAGAAAGAAAGAAAGAAAGATGGAAAGATAAAAGAAAGTAACGCAAAGAAAGAAAGAAAGAAGGAAAGATAAAAAGAAAGAAAGGCAAAGAAAGACGGAAAGAAAAAAAGAAAGAAAGGCAAAGAAAGAAAGAAAGAAAGAGACGGAAAGAAAAAAGAAAGAAAGGCAAAGAAAGAAATAAAGAAAGACGGAAAGAAAAAAGAAAGAAAGGCAAAGAACAAAAGAAAGAAGGAAAGAAAAAAAGAAAGAAACGCAAAGACAGAAAGAAAGAAAAAAGACGGAAAGAAAAAAAGAAAGAAACGCAAAGAAAGAAAGAAAGAGAGACGGAAAGAAAAAAGAAAGGAACGCAAAGAAAGAAAGAAAGAAAGACGGAAAGAAAAAAGAAAGGAACGCAAAGAAAGACGGAAAGAAAAAAGAAAGAAACGCAAAGAAAGAAAGACGGAAAGAAAAAAAAGAAAGAAAGGCAAAGAAAGAAAGAAAGACGGAAAGAAAAAAAGAAAGAAAGGCAAAGAAAGAAAGAAAGACGGAAATAAAAAAAAGAAAGGCAAAGCAAGAAAGAAAGAAAGAAAGAAAGAAAGAAAGAAGGAAAGATAAAAAGAAAGAAAGGCAAAGAAAGACGGAAAGAAAAAAAGAAAGAAAGGCAAAGAAAGAAAGAAAGAAGGAAAGAAAAAAAGAAAGAAACGCAAAGAAAGAAAGAAAGACGGAAAGAAAAAAGAAAGAAACGCAACGAAAGAAAGATGGAAAGAAAAAAAGAAAGAAAGGCAAAGAAAGAAAGAAACAAACAAGAAGAAGGAAAACTTCCACTGGAAAAATAAAAGCGGAAGATAAGCGAAATATTAAAAAAAAGTATTAAACAAAAGAATGGAGAAGGAACTGCCTTTTGGATGAAAGAATGAAAGAAAGAACGTAACGGAAAGAAAGAAATAAATAAAGAAAGAAAGAAAGAATTACTTAAGATATAGAAGAAAGAATGCGTACGCAAATATAGGAATACGAAATAAAATTACCCAAGAAAAAAAAAGCAAAATCCTGATAAGTAAAAAATGAAAGAAACCGGTAAAGAAAATATTTTCAAAGAACATGAAACACTGAAGAAAATAATAATGTAAATGTAAAAAAGCAAGAATTAACTGTAAGAATGTAGGATACATGGTTGTCAGCCAAAAAAAAAGAAAAAAAGTGACAATTGAAGTTGTCCAGCATTCACATGAAAGGGACTGATATTACCTAGTTAAAATCTATTTTCTTTGTTTTTAATTAAACTATCTTGTTTCATAATACTTTACTTAGATTTTGGAAGTTATCTATTACGATTCCAGTGTGTCTTCGAATTTCAAAGACTTCTGAGATATTGAAACTTCTACACTTGTTTGATTTCGACACCCCCACCCTCTTCGTACCTTGCATCTTGGGCTTCGCTTGCTGACAACGTTCCTTCTTCTTATCATTGACGTCTTGTTCTTTCTTCCGTCATTAATTTGTCTAGAAGACACTGTAGTTTAGCTCAATGAATGTATGGAACCTCGTTAAAAATTGTAGAAAATTTCAATAGACTGAAGTACTATCACTAAAAACCCATTTATTGTATAAAACATAAGCCCCGATGTGAATTTTCGCATTCGCTTATATTAACCAATCAGCGACGTCATTTCAAACGTGCTGATGGCTTTGAAATTTCGGACCACTATGTTTGTTGACTGATACGAAATTTTAAAGGTCACTCTAGAACATGATCAATAATATTCTCCCTTCACCCTAAAAATAGATATTTAAAAAATTGAAAATATTTATTAACCAATAAAACTGCATTTAGAAAATCTAACTTTGAAATCCTTGGTGTCCTATTTCTTTGTTATAAATACGATCGCCTAAAATTTAATATTCAGTTTTTCCGTAAACCTGTGGCCAGGGTTGTTCTTTTTGCGCACAACTAAATTTCTACACTTTTCGGATAATTAATTATCCAACCTTCACGTATTTATCGAGTAACTCATTACAAAAGACTAGAGAATTTAGAAAAAATTAAGCAACACACAAAAAACATACAAACGGAGTTGTGTAAACAATTTGTTGGTAGTAGTTAAAACACATCTTCGTCTCCTGACCTGCTGCCTACTATAAAATTACACGCATTCATAAAAACGTAAATACGTAACACACTTATTTTGTAGGCCCATACTGCTTCTTGCAACGCGAATTTGTTTTGCAGGAATCTTGAAAATTCGTTTCTTTCACCTTGAAAGAAAAATACTCAATTATAAAACTTATTTAAAAGTTTTAGAGTTGTTTTTAGAGATTAACCATTTGTTCGCTTTTCGTAAGCTAATTCCTCTACAGAGGCGTCAATGTGTAGGTAGATCTCGTTCATATTCACTTTCCATAACATAACAAAATATTCTCTAAGTTTCTCTTGGTCGGTACAGAACACTTTAGTATCTTGTTTTGATACACACCCCGTCTCTTTCAAGATTTGCTGAGTTATATTCTCACTGTTTGTCCCAAAATTGTGAGCTTATACTAGAACAGGGGTCGGCAATCCTCAGAACCCGGGCCACATCCGGCCTGCGAAGGATCTTTCTTCGGACCGCCAATTTAACACCTGAACACTAATTATCTAATTAATTTGTGAAGCAAGTGGAAGAAAGATATCGGCTGGAGTTAATCGACTTAGAGTGCGACAAATTATTTTAAATCAAAATTTAATTCTTAATCCACTACTGGTATCTACAAGAAATATGTTTTGCCAAGCGGAATTGCAGTCTATTGAATAATGTAAAAACGGTGGTATAATGATTTGGAAGTGTATATGCTTGTAAGCAATTTTTTTCCGAAAATTAAATATCCTAAAAGTCGTTTAAGAACAAGGTTGGGTGATGACCACCTGGATGATGTTTTGCTCCTGTCATTGGCAAAAATTTTCCCCCACGCCCTGATGTGGAGAATTTATCGAACAATAAGCAGAACCAAGTGCCTCATTAAATAATTCATCTTTTTTAATTGTATTTTGATTGTAGTAAGGAATATGCATTTCTTTGCTGCTTGTGTTAGTTGTTATTCTGGTATTCCTGCCGTAAAATAAGGAATCTTGTTTAAACAATATAACATTGACTTCGTTGTTTGTTCTTTAACCCTACACACCAAGGCAGACTTCTTGATGGAGTGATCTGAGGTCGAGAAAACTTTTTATAGTAATTTGATATCATGGCCTTCCTTCGAGACTCTGCATCTGTTTCTGTTCCACTCTCTCCAAAAGGTTTTCCGACCCCTGTACTAGAACGTGCACTTCAAGAAGATATCACTATTGAACAAATTAGCAGGGGCGGTTGCGCTTTTGCCTTAGGATTTGTTTTCAACGAAAGGCGTTTTTCTGATTTGAAAGTCTGACACAAAAATAAACTCCTTACATGTATGTACTCACTTGGCCTTTTATCATACAAAGAAACATTCAGTAAATATTACATTAGCAAAGAAAGAAAGAAAGAAAGAAAGAAAGAAAGAAACAAAAGAAAGGAAAAAAGATAGAAAGAAACCTAAAGGGGGAGAGATAAAGTAACACAAAGCAATAATCCTTAATAAGAGAATTAGAAAATTCCCAGGGTCATCTCAGTTGGGCAAAGTATTTAGCTCGAAAAAAGAATAATCAGAAAGGAAAGAAGAGAGAATAAAACATCGGCCATATTGGCGTCTTCTTTTTTTTCTTTTTCAAAGACGATACTTGGTCCAAAGAGATACAAAGATGGCAGACAAAGATGTCGGTAGGCAAATACGTTGGGTTGTTATTGGAATTCGATGAGAGAAAAACAACCAATGTTTTTTGGGGACAGAAGATTCGTCTCTGGAAACTAGCAAGACATTGGTGCCAAACGTATCTATTCAACCTTCTCGAAATCTATTATTTCAAAGAGACCACGTTCGACAAAGATTCCATTTAACGCGTACGCCGGTGTATAAGTCGACATTTTAAAGCAGAAAAAACACACAAACTAAAATAGCAGAACAAAAACACACGCACACACACACAGGGTCCATTGAATCGAATAAGATGTTTGCTGTGATCTGCCGATTTGAAAATGCTCGAATAACATCATACAGAAATTACACATCTGCCAAAAGATTACTAATGGAAATTAGTACAATTATTTCGAGTTTGACCGGTAAATAGTAAACTAAACCTGTTTACCTATGATTTTGACAGATGTTTCGAATCTAAATGTCAAGGTTGAAAATTGATTTATTTAATTCGATTAATACAGGAAACTTTTTTTTCTGATTTGCAAACAATTTCTACACTAAAACATTTTATAAGTTTAGATTAAACTAGCAGCATGGCCCGGCGTTGCCCGTGCTTGATTAAAAAATCGTACGACTCATACAGCAATCGATATCATTTGATTGAAATATTTTTGCCCTTCCTTGCCTTTAAAGGAGTGCCCTTTGCCGTGCTGATGTTGCTACATGCCTTACTTCTTGCCTATTTCACAATGAGAATTTTTTCTAAGCTCTATACTAAACATTTAATCTGTTACGAAAAAAGAACTAAACAAAATGAACACAAAACGATCAGCTTTAAAAAGGACTCGTAACTGGAAAAACCGAATGAAAACAACAAATACTTTTTCACACCCAACCCAGTTCTGTGGAATCAGAATCAACGTTGAGTTTAAGCAAGCGAATGAGCCAATTGGAGTAAAGTGCCATGCAAATTTAAATTTTTCCTTCTTGTGACGAATGCAGCTATCAATATTTTTGCATGCTAGTTAACATTCGTGTCAGTCAGCTGTTGGCTCTCACGCTGGCCAATAGAATCTTCCTGCCTATTCGTGGCAGCCAGCTATTGGCGCTCACTCTGGCCAGTAGAAAATGGCCGCAAACTACATGAAAACTGCCGTAGAAGTATGAAAAAATCGATTATTTCCACTATTGATGGAAGTTGGGAAATGCAAAGTCGGTCTTGACCTGCCCGGTAACTTGGAACATGTGCATGTAAATTTGGGTGCAAATCCATCAAAAATTGCGACAGCGCATTCGTTACACACCCACACACATACACATCCTCCCTTTAATAGATAGAGATATATATGTTTATAAAACAGTGAATTCTCTAAGTTACTTTTTTATGCCATGTTCCTTCAGGATTTAGGCTGTCATGGCTCTCAAAAAAAAAAGGTGGAATTTCAATGAATTCTTTTGAAAGAGAGTGGATTGCTTTACCTTTGATTTCTTCTCAGTTTTTAATTTAGGGTACCTTTCCGTTTAAACTGGACGGCGCTAAGACTGTACAGGTCAAAGTACCATGTTTGTTAACCAGCAGTTGAGGGAATTGTCTGAGTAATGCTTATTTTAGATCATGATATGTAACAATCTCTACTTTCCTGATTTATAATTAATTTCTACAGTAAAATAATTTATAATTAACTATAATAAACTGATTGTACTATTTCTTTTCTTCGGGTATTACAGTAATGCTACTATTAATTCCTGGCCATTAGTAGTCGTTTTCTTCCTGATGTCTAGTGCATTTCTCTAGTAATAGATTTTACAATGTGTTTCTATAATACGCTTTTATTATGGGGGATTCCTACAATGAGATATCCTGTTCGAGAGAAGAAAATATTACACCTAGATATAATAAAGCGTCGCGAATCGTTATCGTAAATAACTATGAGTTAACACTGTTTTAATTAAGTCTTCATTTCCATCCAAAATTTTATTTTATTGGATTATTATAGTAAAATAACTGACACTAGAATTAGTTTAATTATAGTTAAGCAACGGATCGCTTTAACATGGATGTTATAATTTGAGAATCATTTATTTTTCGGTACCGATTACCAAATTTTTCGATACTGGTTAGAAGATATTTGCTGATTGCCACTGCGTAAATTTCAGTTCATATCATGTAATTATATTTGTTCTTTCGTTCCTTAGTTAGTTATTTAGTTAGCACGTATATTAGACCATGCCATTGCTTCAGATAAACAATGGACCATTCCTGTTTGCGCAAATAGACGAAAGAAACGATATATCAAAGGGGCTGTTTGTTTATTAGGGAAAAGAAGAGAAAAAGAAAGGCTGATAGAAAGGGAAGATAAAAGAATTGTTAATGCTCTCATACGATTCATGTCTGCTTTAGTGAAATCGAAAACCGCATCAATGTTTGAATATTTTCATTTCTTCCCTCTTACTTCTTTAAATAATGTATTTTCTCATATTTATGAGTGTTCACTATTTACATTATTCGGACTATTGCCCTCATCTTTGTCGCCATATTTATTACAACGTTTCGGCCGTTGTACGCTCCGGCCTTCTTAAGGTGGTTGGAATGTCGAACTGAATCCTTCATTTCGCTCACTGGGGTAGAATGTTCTAGTTCCACATGCCATGTTTAATGGATGTCAGTTATCAGTTATCTCCTGTTAATTCCCCTCTGAAAGTTCTCCACTGCCTTAGCCGGGTATTGAACTCACACTCTTTGGGTCCTGTCACTGGATCCATCTAACGCCTTTATCTACTGTCCTTGAGGATACATGGCACAGTTCAATAGCCTGTTCAATCCTTTCCCGGTTGTATTCTACGTTCTGTTCTACGTTCACATCACTTATTCCATCTGATTACCAAACTCCCAAGACTACAAACTCTTGATTACTATGTGTAGGGTGCAGTGGAGAGCAAGAGTTCAATAAAATTCCTTGTACACTATTTACATTATTCGGCCTATTGTCCTCATCTTTATCGCCATATTTATTACAACGTTTCGGCTCTTCAGTATCTGTCTATATTTCTGAAATGAGGTAATATATACACTATTTACATTATTCGGACTATTGTCCTCATCTTTGTCGCCATATTTATTACAACGTTTCGGCCCTTCAGTATGTGTCTATATTTCTGAAATGAGGTAATATATACATTATTTACATTATTCGAACTATTGTCCTCATCTTTGTCGCCATATTTTTACAACGTTTCGGCCCTTCAGTATCTGTCTATATTTCTGAGATGAGGGCCCTACACTATTTACATTATTCGGACTATTATTTCATCTTTGTCGCCATATTTATTACAACGTTTCGGCCTTTCAGTATCTGTCTATATTTCTGAGATGTGGTATTATGTACATTATTCGAACTATTGTCCTCATCTTTGTCGCCATATTTATTACAACGTTTCGGCCCTTCAGTATCTGTCTATATTTCTGAGATGAGGTATTAAGTACACTATTTACATTATTCGGACTATTGTCCTCATCTTTGTCGCCATATTTATTACAACGTTTCGGCCCTTCAGTATCTGTCTATATTTCTGAGATGAGGTATTATGTACACTATTTACATTATTCGGACTATTGTCCTCATCTTTGTCGCCATATTTATTACAACCTTTCGGTCGTTGTACACTCCGGCCTTCTTCAGGTGGTTGGAATGTCGAACTGAACCATTTATTTCGCTCACTGAGGTAGAATGTTCTAGTTCCACGTGCCATGTTTAATGCATGTTAGTTATCAGTTATCTCCTGTTAATTCCCCCGGTATTGAACTCACAATCTTTGGGTCCTGTCACTGGATATAACCAACGCCTTTATCCACTGTGCCATGTGTCCTTGAGGCGTTGGTTAGATCCAGTGACACGACCCAAAGAGTGTGAGTTCAATACCCGGTTAAAGCAGTGGAGAACTTGCAGGTTGTTTTTTTTTTCGTTTTCTTTGCTTCGGTCCCGACCTATATGTAACAATTGGTTTCTGAAGAAAACTGCTATCTTTTTATCGTCATAGACAACCTGTTTTGCTCTCCATACATATGGCTGATGCTAACCACCATAAAAGCAACGCATTAAACCTTCTTGGTTTCGCGTTTTCTACTATCAATGAAGTGGAGTGAGTATAGTGAATCAATTGCTAGATCTGCTGCTAAGAAGATTGGTTCATGTGTCGTGCCAAACAGGTTTTATCGTTAGAATCTATTTTGCTCATTTATAAATCTACCGTTCGTCCGTGCATTGAACATCGCTGCCATATTTGATCTGATGCTCCAGCTATGTATCCTGAGATTCTATCAGCACGGGCTACTCCAAAATTAGAAATTTTATTTCCACATCTAAGCCATAGAATCTAAATCACTCTCGGACACTTTGAATGATTTGGGAGATTGTCTCACTAGTTAAATTACAACTGAGTACTGAATTCGATACTCATTGGGAACTTCCTTCTTGGGAACTTTTTTCACATCTAAACTACTGTTACTAAATCACTATCGGTTACTCCGACCTTGTATATTTGATAGTCTCACTAGATCAATTACAATTAGCTAGTGATTCTGATCTTCATTAAGTGCTCCAAACTTACGAATGTGTTCCACGTCTAAGACATACTATTGGGAGTTTCGACGTCGTTTAATGCTTAGCGAATTTATATCCTAAGATGAATTACGACTGATTCGTGAGCCTGATCCTCACTGGCTGCTCCGTATTTTTAGTCTTGTGCCACATCTTATCTGCATTTTATAAATCACTATAGGGCATTTTGACATGGAAGCTGATAGAGAGATTGTCCCGCTAGAAAAGTTACGAGTTGGTAATCAAATGGAGTTTCTATACATGCGGCCTTGTGCCATATGTAAGTTACCCTTAGTAAATCACTACAGGACATTTCGACATGGTCTAATCGTAAGTATGATTATCTCGCTAGTTCAATTACGACTGATTATGGAGTTTGGTGATCCATATTTGCGGCCTTGTGACAAATCTTAGCTACGCTTATTAAATCAGGATATTCTGCGTCCTTGCATATACATTTAATATTTTTGTCTGCTATTTTATTTTCATTGCGAACTGTTTTCATTTTGAATTTTATTCTTTCCATACTTTGGGTTTCCATAATATAACAATCGAAAGAGAGGGTACTCTCAAGGGGACGGAGACACCACAGCACTACACCGATTACTTTATGTTATTATAAAAATGTCTGGGTACTTTCTGGAAAGAACTCCTGAGTGGCTTTCATAAAAGCATAGTGTTTGTGTCATAAAGTTTTTTCCCATTCCTTAAGCGGTAGCACTCAGGTTCGTGATTGCCTCCTTATAAATTGTATTTTATATGACTTTTAAAGTGGATTTGTGTTGTGAACAAGATATGATGCTCGGAGCCCCTGCGCAGAAGGTAGTTATATTTTTAATTTTGCTTATTTAGAGTTCACTTCCGGTTGACAGATTTTCATAGAGAGTGAATGAGAAAGAGATTTGTTTTAAAGCAGAGTACAATAATGTGCAGAACAAGGAAACCTGTATGTATAGTTAGAAAGAAATAGTTGACTTTTCTGGGTCTCAGAATGAGAAAAGCAGGCCTAGAGAATTAAACAATTAGAAGACAACCAGTGAGAAATGTAGGGAAATATGCCTTTCCGAATCTAAGCAAAGTATGACTATATGGAAAACTTATAGTAAAAATACATTTTTTTAAAAATTTTATATAATATATGCCCTCCGACATGATAGTGAATGTTGAACAAGATACTCAAAAATTAAGATGAGAAATAATGGTTCTACAGAAGCATGCTGAGAATACTAGGTAAGAAACGTGATCAATGAGGATTAAAAAAAAAACAAGCAGAAACATAAAGAACATTCATGCTTACAACTAGAAAGAAAATAATATTTCTGGGGTGTGTAATGAGAAAAGGGGGTTTGGTAAATTTAACATTCACAGGATGTATTGAAGGCATAAAGATGTGTGTACTGAGAAAAATGCTAAGGCGATAGATATTGTTTAGCGGTATAAAAGATGGGAACATTTAGAGAGCCATGATTACTGATGTCCTGAAGAGACAAGCGACAGAAAAAGAGAGAATATATGCCATGGTAGTAACTAATTTTTAAACAGACATTTTTCAGGAATATTAAATTATTAATGAGATCTGGCATTTACTCCGTCGTACGTACGGAAAAATAAAATAAAAAATCTGAATTCTAAACTGTCTGAAATATTTCTAATAATTCTGCAAGAGTCTACTGGGCAATTAACGTGTGATTAGTGATAAAACTTGCGTTGGCAATAATGATTTCGAATAGAGATGTTGTTCTGGATTTTCTACGGTATGTTCAATCAATATACAATTACAGTTCAAATGTTTAAAGCTACCTCCAGAATTAACACGGAATGATCTTGACCGAAGAGTAAAAAAAAATTTCCATCCCAAAAATGAAAAAGAGCCGCTTAGATTCATTGAAAAAAGAAGGGAATCAATTTTGAAACTTATACTTTGAGAAAATTTTGCAACGAATGCCAAAATTTTGTGCTGCATGCAATGGCGTAGCTAAGGGGGGCGGACCGCCACGGGTGTCAGCACAGGAAAGGTGACACAATGTTACCCCAAAAAAATTTTTCAACGAGGCTAAGATGCCAAAAATAGTCTGAAAACAGTGGTGGAGACACAGGGTTTCGCAGTCGGGCATATGACCCCTCCAGAAATAATTTATGACCCCCCAGTTTTGTCCCCCCGTCAGAAATTTTCTAATAAATTGTAGGGAAATTTGTGAGTAGGAAAAATAGCAATGTTTTCAGCTTTTGATTTGAACTGATTATTTTGTGGTATTGGATTTTGTCTTGGATCATACATGTAAACAGTAACGTACCGGTCAGTAGAGTAAAGTAGAGGTAGAGCATGTATGAAAATTTAGCTCCAGCTAACCATTCAGCATAGGGTGAATCGGGGTCATTGGGGTGACATTTATACTAGAGGAGGATATTTTGACGAAAGCAAAATTTAATCATAAAATGATTTTGTTCATTTCGTCCTAATAAAATCTCGAATAAAAATCATGTCTCACTCTTTTTTTAACCATGTAGAATACTTTTCTGTTATTTAAAGTACAAGAGAGATACTTCTTCGTACCAATTTAAAAAAAATACTAGGTGTAATCTCAAAATTTTGAATTGTAGCGTATACACACCCCACGTCAAAATCATAAGGCTAGATACAAAAGGGGTAAAAAAATATAAAATATTGTTACTTTAATCAAAATATATTTGCACCCGTTCTATGAGGTTGGCTGTTGACTCGTTAATAAAGTATAACTATTTCTAACATTAAATTTGAGCGTGTGCAAAATTTGAGCCTGATGCAACTTGCAAAGGATTGCAACCCGCACCTAAACACATCAAATAATCCACAGACACGCTGAAAATTACAAACACACATACATACACACACACACTCACACACACATACACACACACACATACACACACACACACAGACATATATATATATATATATATATATATATGTATGTATGTATGTATTTGTGTGAATGTATGTAGATAGATAGATAGATAGATAGATAGATAGATCCGAATAAACTGAGATATGAACAGATAGATAGATAGATAGATAGATCAGAATAAACGGACATATGAACGAAGAGATAGATAGATAGATAGATAGATAGATAGATAGATAGATAGATAGATAAACAGACATATGAATGAAGAGATAGATAGATAGATAGATAGATAGATAGATAGATAGATAGATAGATAATTTATTTTCGCTGCGCAAATTCGCGTCGTTTTGATTTTGGTCTTCCCTCATATCATTAATCATTTCAATTTTTTAATGTTTTAATTGTATTTCGGGTGTCTGTGGGAGTAAATGTATCATTGCCATAAATCATTAATCTGTTCTCAGTCGACCCTGATCACCTTCGGAACGAAACCGGTTTGTCTGTCTTGTAAATGTTTTCATTTCTTAATTTAATATTTCGCAATGCCAATAAGAAACAAATTATTTCTTTTCCTTGCAATATATATATATATATATATATATATATATATATATATATATATATATATATATATATAGAGAGAGAGAGAGAGAGAGAGATAGAGAGATATAGTGGTGTTGTTCAGAAAACAGTATTCAATATAATATCACAGAGCTCTTGAATATATATTAATAAATATACATATTATCCTTCATATCCATTAATACATACATGCATACATATATATATATATATATATATATATATATATATATATAATACACAATAAAATCTCAAATCACCTCATATGGGGAATAGCCTATTTCGGCAGCCGAAAATATCAGTTGTCTCTCTTATCAACAATCGTGTGGACCGAGTTACTATCAAAAATAGAAATTTACTTGTAATTACTTTTTTTTTTAAATTCTAACATAAATATGTTATAAAATCACTACAAAAATAGCCATTTTGTTTCAACATTCTCAGTGTCTTATCAAGTGATGATGTTGGATGTAAAATAAATGGTTTTAAAAGTTTCGAATTAATTAACAATCCTTCACAAGGGGAAAACGTTGTTACAAAAGCTAGATGGACCAATCAAAATACAAGTATAGGAAAATTAAAAAAGCTTGACAACGAAGTCATGTTATAATAGCTATTCAGATCTTTAAAATACGGGTAATATTAAAAAAGAATTTATTCTAACCAATAAATAGTGTGTATGGGGTCTTAAACTCACGCTCAAAACAACGCAAACACAATCAGATTATAATACATAAGCACCCAGACATATTTAGATATATATACACACAGAAACAAGTGACGAGACAGGAACATCTCCACGGACCTTTATGAAAAAAAAAAAGGTGGGGGGAACCAATTTTAAGAATAGTAATTGTTGGTTATTGGAATTCATTCCGTATACACCAATTATATACTGATATATATATATATATATATATATATATATATATATATATATATATATATATATAATTGCATTTAAGTAATTCTTTTTGTATATATATATATATATATATATATATATATATTAATATATATATAATTACATTTAAGTAATTCTTTTATATATATAAAAATAATATTTTCATACATATATACAGGGGTTGGACAAAATAATTGGAACAGTTGCAAAATCCACTCCTATATTTCAAAGACCTATTATATTAAGAACTTTAACTAAAACTTCGTAATTGCAGATTATATCTATTGTAAATACGTTTATTTGTCTAAATTACTGTCTTTGTCTTATTTATTTTTAGAATTTAGTAAAATTTAAGCTAAATGCGTGACCCCTCCGAGTTCGAAAAAGAGCAAATTGTTGGAGCTCGCATGGCAGGAGCCTCGATCACTAAGGTTGCTGAACTGTTTGGTTTTTCAAGAGCTACCATATCAAGAACACTGATGCAATTCGAGTAACAGTGCAAGACCTCTAGCAACCGTAGCAATTCGCGCCGGACTTGCAAACTTACTAACAGGGACTGACTTGCATTGAAACGCAATGTGGCAAAAAATCATCGGAAAAATGCGGCCAAAGTGACTGCTAAGTTGAATAATCATCTGAATAGTTCAGCTTCTACTAAAACTGTTCACCATGAACCCCAAAAGGCTGCATAGCATGGAAGAGCCGCAGTGAGGAAACCTATTCTCTTCACTCGCAACATTCAAAAGAGGTTGAAGAGGTGTAGAGATCACAATGCTTGGACTGCAGACCAATGGAAGCAAATCATATTCTCAAACAAGTCCAGTTTTTCTCTTTTTCCAACTTCAGGGCGAGTTTATGTGTGGAGGCAGCCCAAAGAAGCTTACAACCCTGACTGTCTTCTTCCAACAGTGAAGCATGGAGGTGGATCAGTGATAGTTTGGGCCGCCATATCATGGAAATGTCTCAGTCCAATAGTTGCCCTGCATGATAGAATAAACAGCAAAGATTACCTGAACATTTTGGGAGATCATGTTTATCCAATGGCCAAGACTTTATTCCCTGCATCTTCCAAGACGATAATACTCCAATACATACCGCTCGAGTGGTTAAGAATTGGTATGAAGAGCATGAAAGTGAACCAGAACACATGGAGTGGCCTCACCAATCTCTATATATCAATATTATTGAACATTTGTGGTGCATTTTGGAGCAACAAGTTAGGAGCAGCTATCCTCCACCGTCGTGTCGTAAAGAGCTGGAGAAGGTTTTAATGGAAGAATGACTGAAAATTCCTCTGGATGAAGTCAGGAAGCTGTCTAATTCCATTCCTAGACGTATTAAAACTGTCTGTGAGGCTAAAGGAGGACCGACTCCATATTAAATAAATTTTCTTTGAATTTAATATTTAACAAGTGTTCCAATTATTTTGTCCAACCCTATATATATATATATATATATATATATATATATATATATATATATATATAATTATCTATTTAAAAATTATAACATAAATATTTATAAAATCACTACAAAAATAGCCATTTTGTTTCAACACATCCGGTGTCCGGTGTCTTATCAATTGATGATGTTAAATGTAAAAAAATAAAAAAAAATCACTTTTTTTTACATTCAACATCACCACTTGATAAGACACCGGAGGTGTTGAAACAAAATAGCTATTTTTGTAGTGATTTTATAACATATTTATGTTATAATGTTTAAATAAATAATTATATCTGCTCTACTCTGTATTGAGCACCCTTTTAAGAATAGCAATTGTTGGTTCCGTATACACCAAACATATACTTGGATATATATATATATATATTACACTTAGGTATGTATATATATATATATATATATATATATATATATATATATATATATATATGTGCATATATATATATATATACACACATGTATGTGTGTGTGTGTATTTCATTGTATGTGAGTACGTTTGTGCGTGTATATTTTCTGCCTGTGTCTGTATGTGTCCATTTATTTTTACAAATATTTTAGGCCTGCTAAAGTAATTTGAAACTGTCCACCATCTGTCGGCGGTCAGAAGGCAAGAAAATTGATCAACAGAATATCGAACGGTTTTTACCCGATTATTTTGCCTTTGTGACCGCGAGAGACCCGCGCAAATCACGCATATGCTATCCGCAGCATAGCTTTTTTTTTCTCTAGCCTTGCAACGAAAACCATACGTATTGCTTTTTTTTTCCTTTTTCATTTTTTTTTTCTAAAACGATCATCGGTTTCTATTGACTGAGAACGGGCGACGTGATATTTTCAAAAAATTGCTATACGAAAACATCAGTCTAAGTTTAGTAAATAACAGAACAAAAAAGTGATAATGTTCTATCGATACACGTTTACCATTACCGTAGGATTTTTGAGTTAATATTTTTCTTACATTCGTTCTACTATTTCGCATAAATAATCTATTATTTTGTTTATGGTGGGCTCTGCCGTCGTATTCGACGTATGAGGGTCAAGCAGTTCAGTTCCTAGGAACCGACATCCCAGACACTAGCACATATGATTATAGTGGTCTTATAAACGAAGTGAAATGCATAGTTCTGAAAAAAGCCAGTGATTCACTAAGTCAAAATGCGAGTACACTTGTTTAGACACTCTCCCGTCGTCTTCGACGTATGAAGGTCAAGCAGTTCAATTCCTAGAAACCGATAGCCAGACACCAGCATATATGATTTGATTATAGTGGTGAGGGCTTTGTGCAAAACTAACTACACTTTGGAAGGAACTAATACAGAGGCCTGGTGCACTACGTGTCACAAGTTTTCCAATCAATCCAAGGCTAGAGAACCCAGTCTGTCCTGATATTTGTCCGTAGCTGGAGAAGAAGAGGATTAATACTTTTCCCTGGTTTAATATCACTGGAATTTGAACTTGGCTCTCCGATTCCTCAAATCGAGCCGCTATCCACTGCTCCAACGTACCTCTTGCCTGTTTATAAAAATCTACCAATTACTGTAGAGTTAAACGTAAAAAATATCCATAGAAATATAGCAGAAGACAAACGAATTAATAAACATTAATTGTTTCTGTGGGTGAAGTTTTTGCCCGGATCGATATACACCTGATGAAGGGTAGAGGAAAAACAGCCGAAACGTAATTGCAACAAAAAAGATGAGGTTAACAGTCCGCATGTAAATAGTGTAAATAAACATTAATTTCGTAAATTTATAGAACAGATTTCTGGAAGGATGCTTCTGTTATCACTAATATCTTAAATTATTCGACCTTTTTATATTTTTATAATGAAATATTTTTTTAAAAATCCCCGCCTCCCCGCGATTCTTACGAATTCAAATTTTCTCAACTTGATTTCCGTTGGACCAATGGTTAAATCCTAAAGATTTATTTATATATTGATAAAATTTACTGTCCATTCCTCACTTACAAGCCATGACAGAGTTAAAAAGAGTTTACACAGTCTCGTAGGCGATGAATTGTTTTCAAAGGTACAGCTCGTTTCCCACAAACGAAACTTTGCAAGCCTATCGCCATTCTATCGCTATTTTTCTGGCAAATGGTCAGAGGAGCTACATACATTAGTTCCACTAGGTCAGACATTCACAGCTAGGAGACGCCAGGCCACGTACAAAGGATCGAATCGTTCTCATTCCCCCCGTATTTTGCCAGAAAGAAGAGCGTTTCACTCAGAGATCTTCTTCCCGAGAACATTTTGAAAGCATCCCCCGATCACTACAATCTTCACCTGTATATGTCTAAGGTCAAACATATCCTCATAATATTCACCTACTCTTTCTCTGACACACCCTAACTTTGTAACCAACTACCTACTGTGGTTCTTGGGGCCTTGCATTAAGTGAACATTTTCCTTTAAAT